GAGCCTCTGAGAGCCCAAACCAGCCGCTTCTACCCTTCACAACCAAACGCTCCAGTGAGTGCTGGGGGGAGCAGAGCAGGGAGCCAGAAACTGACAGTGCTGGCTCTCTGCTCAGAGTGGAGGGGAGAACGGAGCAATCAGTGGTTCCTGATCTCAGTTCTCAGCCTTAGAATCAGTGGGGGACAGATGCAGCATTAGATCGATGCTGCATTAGGCACGTATGATTTAAAAAAAAAAAACTTTTCTTTTAATAATTATAAACTCATTTCCCTTTTAATAATTCTAAATGCTCCTTTCCACTATGTCTACTTCCACCTTATATACTTTGCAGAAAAATGTATTGCTATTTACAGAGCTCAATAGCTCAAGCTGAAATTTAAATAAACAAGACACAGAGGAGTAACTCCTTTCCCTTCCTCCTCTCCTTGCTTGCTGTGTTTGTAGGAGACCCTACAACAAATTACAATGATAGAAAGAAGCTGAAAGCAAACAGCTTATCTATGCTGTCTTTGCAAAACCTATGAAGTTCAGTGAATCCTGAATCACAGGACTACTCTTCATGATGGTTTGTAAATGTATGTAAAGAAAATAATGTGTCCAGTTCTGGAGACCTCATTTACAAAAAGATATTGACAGGATAGAATGAGTCCAGAGACGGGCAACAAAAATGGTGAAAGGACTGGGGGATAAAACATATCAAGAGCGACTTCAGGAACTTAACATGTACAGTCTGGAGAAAAGGAGGGAAAGGGGAGACATGACTGAAACATTTAAATACATAAAGAGGGCGAATAAGTTTCAGGAGGGCAGTATTTTTAACATGAAACCAAAATCAAGAACACGGGCATGACCTTAAACTAACTAGAGGAAAGTTCAGAACTACTTTAATGAAAGAGTAGTTGCTGCTTGGAATAAACTTCCAGCAGAGGTAATGAGCCAGTTAACAGTAAATAGCTTCAAACATGCGTGGGAAAAGCATAGATCTATACTAGCACAAAAAACAAAAACAAAAAACAAAATCAACCCCCCCCCCCAAACAAAAAAAAAAAAGGGCAGACTTGATGGAGCACTCTGTCTTTTTTCTGTCGTCACTTTTCTAAAATTGACCAGAAACTATAATAGTTTCCTTTTAAAGTGTACCTGCGTCCTTGTCAAAGGTTGTAAATTGTATCAGTGCCTGTATTCATCGTTATTGTATTTACAAAGTACCCTAAACTTTAAACACATTATTATGCAGGTTTCTAAAACAGTTTACTTGGTTGCATTTGTACCTGTTCTCTTCTGCTCCACATTCCTCTTTATTGGCCAGAAAGTTTGACAGTCAGTATCACTGGGCAATATGGAGGCACAAGGGCTGGGAATAAGTTGACAAGAACATGGCTATGTAAGTTCTCATTAAATTTTCATACCCTGTAATATCATACCCTGGGTTTGGGGGATCTGGGGATACTTGAGTCACCTGCTAGTGGGGAGGTCAGTGAAAAACCTTTGATAAAAACACACATTTGCTTTAAAGCAGCCCTAATCATAAAATGGCTAACTTTGGAGGAAAATATTTTTACAAAAATGTGCTGTTGTTTTTTTTTTGGGGGGGGGGAGGGGGCAAGTTTTATTTTGGTAATTGAATGGTTCTTTTAAATAATAAAAAATAAACCCGTAGTTAAAATGTATTTTCCCTTTAAGAATGACTTGTGTTAAAACACTCTACATAGCACCCAAACCACACAGTTTTACTTGCAAAAAAAAGTTTACAAATAGCAGAAATACAAACACTTAGACACAGAGCACACATATATATGGATATTGCCACACAGATTTCCATCAAAGTTTACACATTGTTCCCAGATACACACAATCAAAATGTTAATTTACTGAGCTAATTTACATTCAGAAAGAGATCTGAAGATGGCATTCATAGATATGGATGAGTAAAATAACATTTCTCACTGGAACCTCAACAGTATTAAAATTGCAGCCATAAAATAAAGAATATGTTAAGAAACAAACAAACCCAAGCATACATGGGAGAAGATTACTTTTGCCTTTCAGTTTGTAATTTGAGAGTTTCGTGAAAAGAATATGTCCTAAATTGCTCACAAGGGTATCTTAAAGGAAAAGCACTGACCATAATTCTAAATAATATTAAATAATATAAAATATATTACTTATTCTTAAGTAACATAAAACTAAAACTGCTTTTGTACTTTACACTGCCAACTACCAAAATGCAGTGTTTGACATCCAACCAACCTATCACCAAGCCTGAGTACTGCCTCATGGGTGGCAGGATGAATATGTGTGTATGCAAATATCAACTTTCAAAAAGTTATCATTTGCCAAGGGTGAAAGGATTAAATGGAATATAACTGAATCCATTTTGTATACACTAATACAAGATGCTAGTTTAACATACATATATGAGATATGTACACACTAACAAAACTGTTTATGCCAGCTTCATGTAGAAATGAGTGTTTTTGCAAACTTTACAAAAAAACAGATAAGGTTTACTCTCATTTCTGAAAAGTTTTAACCACAACTTGGGCATTGGGTCAGATTACAGCCATGGTCTGGGCGTTAGACCAGATATGGCATGACAGATAAAGCAGAAGAGTGAAAATGTAAACCTCATACAAATAATTGTTGAGTTAAGGTAAAAAAATGTACATGTATTTGATTGGATGGTCTGAGGGTGTGTTTTCCCAAAGACTACAGTATAATAACCCTGATGTTATGCCAATAAAACTGAAGTGTTTTGCAATCGCAACTGAGGTGACTTGAGTGCATTCACTTTCCGAGATCTTGTAGCTGTGTCCAGGTGTGACCTTTGGTATCTTGAGGGGGGCCCCCAAGGAACAAAGGAAAAAGACCACCTACCTACTTTCAAAGGGAGCTTTGGGGGAGCTGTGTGACACATGGGAGGCTTGGATAGGGGTCAGTTATCATGATAAAAGAATAATATGGTACCTATTTGTTGCCTACTGTACAACTGAACCCTTGGGGTGGTGAAATACTCTACAATCTAACAAAAACCCTGAAGGAAGTGTCGGGGGGGGGGGGGGGATCTGAGGCTTTCTTCACAAAGGACAGTACCAAATCCAATCGCAATTGATCTTGTCCCAATTTGATTTCAGTCACCTGAAATTTATTTGGTTTCTATGGATAACTGCATGTTGTGCATGGTCATTGATTTGCTCCCTATACATACTTGTATAAGATACTGTAACTCAGCCCAAATGTTGGGAATCCAAGATTTGAAAAAGTAGCTGCAATCATCAACCTGATTAGGTCAAAAAGGAACAATGTAAGTGGATGCAGGATGACTGCATGAAGCAGAAAATTGCTATACTACCCCTTTTAAGTGATAAAACATAACTAAGCCATATAAAAATAAAACACATTCACTTCTTAAAGTTGTACCAATATAGCAGTGATAAGTGTGTGAAACAAAAATTATAACACCATATTACTGATATAGTGAAAGTCTATATCAGTAATTTAGTGGTACAATTTTTGTTTCCCAAGTAAATGTGTTTTATTCCATGTGACTCGATTATGTTACATCACTTAAAGGGGTAGTGCATCATTTTTCTGTATTTTTGGATTTTTTATCCTGTGTTTAGATATCTTGTGGGCAGCTCCCCTTTTTGATCACTTTTTATACCATTTTTTGTGTAACACTGAGTGCAGAGTTGTTACATTTTACAGAAGGATGACTGCATATAATGACAGATATTATTATAGCATAAACACTTTTTCTGCTTTCCCCATTAAACTTCTGAATATATATACTACTTCACAGGGTGCAGAAATAATTACTCCCCAACACATTGGGGTTTATTATTAGATTACTTCTAAAGAAGCCTAACTTTCATGATTACTACCATAAAGTTTCAGTTCATTATAAACAGACTATTTAGTCATGGCTGGATGGTGGAAATACAGCCTGCTTTTTTAATGTACAGAAATGTTGGTAGAAAGGTGAAGCCCAAGCAGATTCTAGGAGGGGTTACAACTTTAAACTATTGTGTTAAAAAAGTATAGTATTTCTGCACACTGTGTATATATATATATGTATATATATATATATATATATATTTTTTTTTATATATTTATTTTTATTTTTTTTTTTTACAGCTAGTAGGTGATGAGTATAAGGTTAATAAGGTTATTTCCAGGTTTAAGTAAGCTGGTTTAGGAATAACCTATGTTTTGACCTGCACAGCAGTATATCAATTACATGTACGCAGTCTTGGTAGAGATAATGTTTCTTAGGATTTTCTGTTGCCAAAATCAACCTACAAGTGCATAACTAGTGCTGGGTTTTCTTATTAGTAAGCCACGCATGCTCTACAAACACAGTAACATAGAAGTACCATTTAAATATCTATTTGAAAACTATATATATTATGAAAAAGAACATACGGTTGGTTATGGACTAAAACTGGAGAGTGCAAAATATGGTGCAGCTCTGCATAGGCTCCAGAAAGAGAGGTATCATTTCACCCCTGTACAAATCATTAGTATTACCTCATCTGGAATATGCAGTTCAGTTTTGGACAACAATTCACAAAAAATAATATTGGGGAACTGGAGAAAGTACAGAGAAGGGCAACCAAACGGTGGCATGGAGGAGCTCAGCTATGAGGAAAGATATGGGGGCACTCTTTACATCTGGAGGAAATTGAGATTTAATCTCCAAATACAGAAAGGTTTCTTCACAGTGAGAGCTGTGAAAATGTGGAATATACTCCCTCAAGAGTTGGTTCTGGCCAGCTCAGTGAATCGCTTTAACCACCTCCCGCCCGCCATATAGTAATATGACGGACGCAGGTGGTTCTCTCTTTCTGGGAGGACGTCATATGACGTCCTCCCATTCTCACCGCACATGTGTGGCTCCCGGAGCACACAGCGCGGCGAATCAGCGGTGCGCTGTGTCCCTCGGACACAGCGGATCACCAATCCACAGAAAGAACCAAAGATGTCGGCTCGGTCATGTGATCAGCTGTGTCCAATCACAGCTGATCACATGTAAACAGGGAAATGCCTGTTATCGGCATTTCTCTCCCCATGAGCTATCACGCTGACAGCTTGTGAGGAGAGGAGAGGTGGTAAATGGCATTCCTCAAAGGGGACATGTGCACAGATCATCATCGCACTGATGATCAGTGTGCCCTGATGATCTGTGTAACCCCAGCAGCGCCACCTGTCAGGGTTCATCAGTGCCAGCTCTCAGTGCTCATCCATGCCACCTGCCGGTGCCCATCAGTGCCACATCAGTGCCACATTTCAGTGCCCATCAGTGCCACATCAATGCCACATATCAGTGCCCATCTGAGCTGCCTTTCAGTGTCACCCATCAGTGCCACTCAGTACCACTATCAATGCCAGTCAGTGCCACCTATCAGTGCCAGTCAGTGCCGCCTATCAGTGCCCGAGTCAGTGCTGCCTATCAGTGTGCACCTAACCGCCAGTCAGTGCCACCTAACAGTGCCTATCAGTGCTACCTAACAGTGCCAGTCAGTGCCGCCTATCAGTGCCAGTCAGTGCCGCCTATCGCCTATCAGTGCCATATATAAGTGCTGCCTTTCAGTGCCCATCAGTGATGCCTGTCAATGCCCATCAGTGGCACCTACCTGTGCCTCCTCATCATTGCCACCTATCAGTGTCCATCAGTGCAGCCTATCAGTGCCCATCACTGCAGCCTCATTAGTGCACATCAGTGAAGGAGAAAAATCACTTATTTACAAAATTTTATAACAAAAACTAAGAAAAAAAATTTTTTTCAACATTTTCAGTGGTTTTTGGTTTGTTTAAGAAAAAATAAAAACCCCAGAGGTGATTAAATACTACCAAAATAAATCTCTATCTGTCACAAAAAAATTATAAAAATGTCATATGGGTACAGTGTTGCATGACTGTGCAATTGTCATGCAAAGTGCAACAGCGCTGAAGGCTGGAAATTGGCCTAAGCAGGAAGGGGGTATAAGTGCCCTGTAGGCTAGTGGTTAAAAAAAAGCCTGGATTCTTTTCTAGATACACAGAATATAACTGGATACTAACACTTATGGGTAAAGCTGATCCAGGGAATATCCAATTGCCTCTCTGGGCTTCAGGAGGGATTTTTTTCCCTGCAGAAGCAAATTGGATTGTGCTTTGCTGGGCTTTTTTGCCTTCCTCTGGATCAACTGTAGCTATTGGATTCTAACTTTTTTTTATGGTTGAACTAGATGGACTTGTGTGGTTTTTTTTTCAGCCAGATTAACTATATAGAAACCAATCAACTTCCAGGTTTTAAATGCTAAAGCTTAACCTATTGGCGCCGGCCGTATGCATACGTGAGCCTTAACGCTGAGCAGTCGCATGTATGTGGCCCTGTTTTAAACAACTTACTGCTGAGAGTGCGCTCCCTGCATGCTTCCAGCAAGGGAGCTCCAGATGCATACTTGCAATCGGGAGCTTTCCAATGATGTGACTGCTGTGACAGCTAATCACAGCGGTCACATGACTCGAACGCCTTCGCCTCCCGGCTTTTAGAACGCTTAAAGGAATGGGAGGCGGTCAGCTCGAAGGGGTTAATTGAACAAGCTAAAATTAGAAGCTGCACCATATTTTGAATGCACCAGTTTTCGTAAATCTCCCCCAAATTGTCAGTTTATACACTGTCATTGTTAGGAGTCTCTGATATTAAAAAAAATATTGGTGATGCAATCTATTGCTGAATACCTGCTCCTGAAACATGACAACATACAGAGTATGGCAACTTCCGAAGGGCATGTCATCATTTTGTAGAAAAATGTATTTATAAATATTAAAAAGCTCTCCAACTGTTCACCAGTTAGGACTCTGTTAGCTTAATTTTCCCACCTATCAAAGCAACTTTCAGTGTGGAACAATGGAGAAAATTGCCTAGCCTGATAAAAACGCATGTTCTGACCTACACACAGCTTTATTAAAGGGTGTAATTTAATGCAATCTAACTAAATTAGTGCCAATTAGACAGGCTAAATTAAAGGGCATGTCACTAATACGCTTTATGCTAAATATATTACTGACAGTGAGCTCACTAATACTTGTACAATCTGTGAAGAATTAAGCATTCACAACAGGACTCATTAAAAGAAAAAGTCGATGTTTTTTTATAAATCCTCCAACCTTAATAAAGCCTGAAAAGCATTTAAACAGGTATTGTAATATCTGGTGGATTTCCTATTAAATATTAATTACAAAAAAAACAGTATATAACAGTATATCAAAGTATAATAATTAAAGTGAAAGAAAAACCTAACACTAACTATTCCTAAAAACATTCCCTCCCTCCTCTTTCTACTTACCCTCCATAACCTGTGTAAAAAGATCTGTGTACTTACCTTTTTTTTATTCTGTCCGATCCCCTGTGTAAGGAAATGCTTCAACAAGAGCTGTGAATTCCGGAAGTCACGCTGTCATCCACAGGCTCCTATAGCCCAGCCATTGTTTGCCCTCCCTCCTGCAGCAGTTGCTCGCTGACACAGGGGAGCCCTCTGAGCTGCAGCATCATGTGACCAGACCAGATTAACCACATTCCCGACTCCCTACAGCAGATATACTGCTACAGGGCGGGTAGGGGGCACAAAATCACTAATATATATACGTGATTTTGTATTTCGCTGCTGTCAATCACTGGGTCCCGAATGGTGATTACATGCTGGCTCCTGGTGATTGCCGAGCATCTCCGACATAGGGGAGTACTGTTCATAAACAAAACAGTTCTCCTCGCTGTCAGCTCATGCACACTGTTTTGCATGGCTGTGCATAGCACAGCCATGCAAAGTAGTGTGCTTACAGTGAAGCACACACACACACACAGCCCCCAGTAAAACAGCACACAGCAAATCCTTTGATTGCCCCACATGTTAACCCCTTCCTGCCCAGTATCATTAGTACAGTGTCAGTGCTTTTTATTAGCACTGATCACTGTATTGGTGTCACTGGGGATGCCCCATTGTCAGAATGCTCGCGCAGTCCCACTATAAGACGCTAATCACTGCCATTACTAGTAAAAATTAAAAAAAAAAAAATCCCAGTATATAGAGCGCCATTTGTAAATGCTATAACTTTCACGTAACCACCTAATTTACACGTATTGTGATTTTTTTTTTAGCAAAACCTTGTAACAGAATACATTTTGGTCTAAATTTATAACGAAATTTGCTTTTTTAAATTTTTTTACTGAACATGTTTAATAGCAAAAAGTCATACAAATTGTTTTTTTTTTTTTCTCAAGATTGTCGGTCTTTTTTTTTTTTAGCGCAAAAAATAAAAACGCACAGGTGATCCCCAGCAAGGTCTTTTTATTGTTGAATTACTCTTTTAGTTTTGAGCGGAAAGTGAAGTTTAGAACTATCTTTTGCACTTTTAACAGACTACACATATATACTGTATGTTGGGTTATTTCTGATTTATTTATGTGATTATACTGTGGCTGGTGCCACATTTGCATACATGGTAGCACGTTGATGAAATTCTCAGCAGCACAACACATTTTTTTGTCTTTAACTATATATGTGTGAATGAACACACAATAATAGTGGTTGCAGCAGCTGTATGAGTATTATAAATTATTTTTAAGCTTATTGTATTTTTTACAGGGATACTATTAGTGTCAGCGTGCAATTTTTTGGTTTCAATTGTGATTCCCACAACATTATCAGTTATATCTACTCTACTGTTTCATGAAATTCAGTGATTCAGCTCTCAGTCATACGTACCTTTAGATTGTTTTTTCTTTTTCATTCACATTTTATTTAGCTTTCACATATATTATCTTGCAGCCCAACTAATCCCACTATGACTGGTTCAAACCTAGCTGAGACAATGCCTATACAGTGACGGAGGCAGCAGTTATATTTTCGTTTAAATCTATGCATGACTCCATTTATTCTTATACCTACAGGAGGTACCACTAATAAAAATATATCCCCTAGGACCCTCTGATCTCCCCTATTCCACTGATTGATCCTTATCCATTAATAACCACATTTTCCGGTGACGCTCTACTTCCCCAGTTCCTCGCAGTACTAAGTGCAAGATTTTGGTTTTCAAAAGGCCTGAAATGTCAGCACCAATTGTTCCATGAGGGTAACATTAACGAATTTTTCTACAATACAGGTATAATTTGAGGTTCCTGCAAAATATTGTCTTTTCTGTCTTACGCTACAGCACACTGTTGACGGACATTTTAAATCCCTCTTAAATGTTGCTCATCATATTCCTCCCGAGTAAGGTTCAAATGGCATGAGATGAACCCTCAGCTGTTTGTAGAAGATTGGGAGAATGTTGAGGAAACTCATATGACCTCAGTAATTTTGTCCAAAGACAGACGTATATAACTTAGTCCAAAGACATGCTGGTAAGTTAATTGGCTCCTGTCTAAATTGGCCCTAGTATGTGTATGTATGAATGTGAGTTAGGGACCTTAGATTGTACACCCCTTGAGGGTTAGAGACTGATGTGAATGTACAATATATATGTAAAGCGCTGCGTAAATTGAAAGAGCTATATAAGTACCGGTAATAAATAAATAAATAAACCTAAATTATACCACCAAACATATTATACACTCCATTGTTTGTATAAAGTAAAAATTAGACATACCCCCTTATGCTTCCACCTTTCGGTGGGGGACTTCTACCATGTTTTGCGGGTATGCCCCCAGATACAAATGTTTTAGTCACAAATATTTGGATTTCTTGAGTCAGCCATGGGTTTCCCAAATGCTATGTGTCCTACCAGGTATGCCCACTGAGGTTGGTGGAGGATCTTTCTGGTTGACTCTAACACCAAAAAACTGCTGAAAATACTTTACTTCTATTTAAAAAAAATATTATATTGACCACCTGGAGAAGATCCCTTTTGCCAAACCTTTCGGAAAGGAAACAACTGATTAATGCAGCTCTTCTATTATAGCAACTTACATTTACAACCAGGGGTTCTCCAAAACGCTTTGATAAAATCTGGGTCTCTGGATCCAAGCTTTCCTTTTCTTGACCTGACTGGGTTCCTGTAGATTACTCTTTCTTGGTATAACCCCCTAACACTGTACCTTTCGACTTTGTATTTCTGTAATGAGGTTTTATTGTGTAACAGTTGTACAGCCTGTACTATTCAGAACACAGTATTTTGGATTTTACATGACTTATTATAAATGCAAGTTTCTTATATGAAAGCAAAAACAAGACCCTAAAAAAGGTATTTATAATTTCCCACAATTATACATTTTCACATATACAGTACAAAAAAAGAACAAAACAATACAATCAACCATATCGTCCCTCAAAGACAAAATGAAAAAATAAAAAGTAAAACAAACCCCAAAGATTTATTTATCAGGCAACCCATTATACATTTGATAACCTCTATTTATTGTTCCATACTCA